TAAATTAATTGTACTGTACTTTCAATGATAATAACAAAAAATTATAATTAAAAAATAAATAAATAATATTTTATTAGTAATTTATATATTCAATGAAGTGTTAATTGTATGTCAAAAGTGGTCAACATTTGAACTTATTTAAAGTACAGTATTATTATTATTTATTTATTTATTTATTAATTATAATTAACTTTATTAATTAATTTTAAATATCACTATTTTTATATTAATTAATAATCATTTATTTATATTAAATGTCATATTTTTTGCTATTAGTTAATACTATATTTATATACAGTATTACTAATTATTTGTATTATTTTAAAGGCTAAATGTTTTTTACATTGAAAAATATTAGATTACAAAAAAAAATTTTACTTAATTTTATTTGTTTTTTTTGTGAACAAAAGTTTTTATATATATATATATATAAAACAATTGGCGAAGACGTGGATCTAATAATCCTAAAGACACAATAATGTCACCAAAATTTGGCAAAAATTGTTACAAAAGTAGCAAAACTCTTGAAGATCTCAACGACTATTGTCTGTTAGATATTATGGCCAAACTGTCGCTGAAGGATAAGCTAAGGTTCAGACTTAACAAACGATTCAAATATTTGGTGGAAAAAGATCTCAGTTTATTGAAAGGTATGAAAATTGGTAAAACAGTTGGCGGTTGTTGTGATGGTAGACATAGATCACTGGCAGTCGATATTGTTGACCATCAATCCAGTGATTTGTTTACACTCAATGACTATACGAAGAAAATCTTGTCGAAGATGTTCAAGTTTTGCCGAAATATTCGTTGCATTGAATTGAGTGCCGAAATCGATCTAAAACTAATCGTTTGGATTAGACGTCAGTGCCAACAACTGGAGTGTCTTCAGATCAATAACTCGATGCTTAACAATCATCTGTCTTCGCGACAGTGGATGCAAATCGGCGAAACCCTATCGGATCAGTTGATTCATTTGTCGATAACATCGACAACCAATTTAGATCGAATGACCGAATTCGGTCTAATGTATTTGATACAGAATCTTAAGCAACTGGAAGTATTCAGTTTCGATGTTCACGAAACCCCGATCGATAAAGTGTCGCAATTTTTCGGACCAACACTTCATACATTAAAGCTAAACAAGTGTCACAAATATCGTATAACTCAGCAGATGTTAGATATAATCAAACGAAATGCCATTAATTTAAAGCATCTGGAGTTTGAGGTCTACAATGTCGAGCCATTGGCACTGATAGCCAATACATTTCCTCAGTTGAAGACATTGAATATATTGTTTTATACACCGGAAACATTTATGCCGCAAAGCGAATCATCGTTTCCACAATTGGATCAAATGACTGATTTGCAACACTTGAAGATTGATTTCTATCAAAATCGGGCCATAATTAACAATTATCTAACAAGAAGTTGTTTTCCGAAACTATTGTCCATCAATCTGACCGGTATATCGTTTACGCCGAATATGTTTGACCAGTTTGACCGATATTTGCCAAAACTGGAACAACTGGTTCTAAACAACTGTTCTCTACTTTGCTGTGACACTAGCATCGACTACAGCAGTCGTCAAGACTGTAACGAATGTAAAGAAAAATTATGGACCTATTTATCACAATTAAAACATTTACGACAATTATCGGTACGATTGTTGCCCCGCAAAGACACCGGTCTGTCCAAGTCATATGTCTGGACATTTGACGACAACTCATATCCAGCTATCGAAGAGCTGGACTTCAAATGGCTTCCCTATGATTTCAGTGCATTCGTTGATAATCTATTGAAACCGTTTATCCGTTTTGCTGGTCGACATCCCCGACGGCTATTTAAATTGAAAGTCAATTCCGAATATTTCGGTTATCTAACGAAACGCAAGAAGATTATGGGTATTGTCTACAATGTAATTGTTCCACTGGTTCCCAGAAATGTCAAAATTATCAATTGCTATGATTGAAGACAATATAACCCTTAGAGTTAGTTAGTTTTAGTAATAATTTTAACTATTTTTAAAAAAAAAACATTTTTATATCACTTTATGCGTGATTTTTGACACTTGTATTACACACACATAAAATATTTAAATATTATTTATAATTTTTGTTTTGTTATTTGATTTATTATTATTTTTTTAGATTATTATTTTTTATGACGACTTTACAATAATTTTTTTTAAATTAGTATTTAAAACCAACTTATTTATGATATTTCTAGTATTATTTTTTTTTAATTTATAGTACAAATTTGTATTAGTATAATAAATGTACATTTTCTCATTTAAAAAAATTGAATCATCAATTGAATACTTTTAATAATTTTATATTATTTTTTTTAATAAATAAATAAATTGATCATTACTTAGAAATTATTTGATTTATATTTATTTAATTACTATATGTTTATTACTACCGGTTTTCTGAATTAGATGTCATAAATTAAATATTTATTATCAATATATGTGTGTCATAAACTATTTAATATTGAAATTATCAATAATAATAATAATTGAATATTAAATATGTCTACACTAAACAATATTATAATATTAAAAGTTTAAAACATAACATTTAATTATAATTTTCATTATATTTTGGTCAATGATTATGAACTTTTTGGAGACAATAAATTTTTTCAGCAACAATAAAAAAAAGACATTACTTTTAATTTGGATAAATAATAATCATACTATTAATTTTTAATTATTATTAAATTATAAATACATATTATTTTTTTCTCAGCATAATATATATAAATGTTTAATTGAAAACAGTTTTTTGAATCAGTTTCGATATCGTTGTCATCGGAGTTTGTAGTGGTAGTGGTTGTGGTGTTATTGTGATGTAAATACGTATTTAATTAATAATTTTTAATTAAAAAAATTATTTATTAAATTTAACCAAAAAAAACAATTATGTCGAAAACTATTATATTTGTTGTGATGGCATTAACATTGGCGGTCACAATGATTGCCAAATGTGAGTGCGGGACGAAAAAGTTGTTAAACGGTATATTAATCGGTATGTTACTGACCAATGGTCACGGAGGTGGTGGTCACGGTGGAGGTGGACATACAGTCCATCATTATCATCATCCAGTTTAGTATGTATTTAATATATATATATATATTTTTAAATCATAAAAATTATATTTTATTTTATAAATATATGAAATTTTTGTAACAATTATTCTATAACTCGTATAAATTATTATTAAGGTATATAATTTTTCTTAGTAAACTAATTTTTTTATAAATTACTACTATGAGTTTTAATTAATTGATAATTTAATTTAATTATAATTACCATGTACAATTTATATATATATATATGTGTGTGTTTAGTACTAAATTTGATTCGTACGGACATTTGGGTGGTTTTGAGGACAGTTTCGGTGGTGGATATGGAGGCGGATATTGATATTAAAACAGATATACATATGGTTATCAAAATTGTAATATTTAATCAAATCTGAATTCTATATATATTATCTAAATTATCACATATTTTTTTATTATTATAAAGTATATTAATTAATATTTATTATTTAATGATTTTAAAATTTTAAAATTTTCATTTCACTATATTTTTTTCATAATCTATTACATTATATAACTATATATATATATATATATTCAATATATATTGTATATTTTAGAAAATTTTAAAGCTAATTTTGTTTATTCTATAGATAATTATGATTAATTAGCTAATTAGTTAATTAAATAATCAATTAAATAATTTTTAATAGCTATGAACAATAGCCTTAATAAGAGTTTTTATAGTTCCTGTCAATTATAATTTAATATATATATATCAAATTATTATTATGTTTTTTATATATATGTTTAATTAATTATTGTAATTAATACCCGTTTATTATATATTATAATTTTTAAGTTTATCATTATTTGTCAATCAATTGTATGTACATCATATTTAATTTATTAATTAATAATTTCATAATAATAGCAATACATTTTTTATCATTTAGTAGAAACTTATTATTTTTTTTGTCTTAACATTTATAAATAAAATGTGTCTAATGTTTTAAAAAGTATTAATGTTTAATTAATTAAATTAAATTAAATTTAACATATATATATATATATATATATTACGATTTATCATTTATTAGAAATATTAAAATTCAATTTAATATATGATATCATTATTTAAAAACTTAATGTACTATAACTTTCACAAATAGTAAATTTATAAAAAAACAATATTTTATTAAAAATCTATGTATATTATGTATATTATGTATATTAAAAATTCTATGTATATTATTAAATTAAAATCAATGATCCATTGTCAATGTATACTAATTGATTATTAACTAAATTTAAATAAAATAAATAAATTTATTAAAAAAAAGTTTTCAATCATTAATAATTGGAGGGACAGTTAGTTGTATTTTAGCCAACATTTGACTGATTCCCGAAAACAATTGGCCAGTGCAGGACAACAATCAATGTTCGGTAGTCTAGTTTCCCCCAAAAAAAATGTTTTTATAGAGACATAGTGTCCCCGGTTACCTGGTTAGCCCGTTACTGTAGTTGTGTCCACCACACAAAAAAAAAATATGCGGACAACAGGTGTCGTAACTGTTTTATTGTACATACATTACAGTTGTTGTTACAGTATATCATCATATACTGTACTTAACTTTTGTATATATCAGTGTAAAACAAGTACAGTGTGTCTAATAAAAAGAGTTGTAATAAAAACTTTGTATTGGATTTAAAAAAAATAAATATTATATTATAATCATTATTACTGTAATACTGTGTATCTACAGTACAGTACACACTGTATTAGTGTTAAACAAACATCAAAACAACATTAACATCAAAACACTATAGTATTCTATGGTATTAATAGTAAATACTTTTTTTAATAATAATAATAATAATTAATAACAAAACAATACATTAATTATATAATACTGTATATAAAAAAAACACTTGACTTTTACATTGAATATAAAGTCATGCATTTGATTGACTGATTGATTGAATCAAACGGTTGTTTTGTTGTTATTATATTATTGAATGCATTGATTGCTTAGTTATATTAGTAGTAGTAATAGTAGTCATCACTGATTGTTGTTGTTGTTTGACATCTATTTCAGTGACAGTTCAGCGGTGATAATCACATCTCATCGATTAGACAGTCATTTTTCATCCAAAGACATCCATCCATTCATCAACAAACAAAAATCATTTGGTGTCCACTCATATCATATCTAAATCACCGAAAACATCACATTGTTTTGCGGAGAAAACAATGGCTGAATCGCCGGATCAGTTATGGGTTAGTTCGTCGGTTACGTCCTCGTCATCGACAGTGGATATGTCACCGCAAGGCGACAACGATTCACTGAACAACTGTATGGTCGTACCGATGGACAGCAGCACACGGGCCGGCTTTGTTACGCCATCGCCGCCGCCACCATTGCCGCCGCAATCACCGGCCGCGGCCGGATCGACAACATCGTTGACATCGTCGTCATCGTTGTTGACACCAATGGAAAAGCTCGAACAGGAGAACCGGTCGCTCAGATCGGAAGTGGAAACACTGAAGATGCGAATCAATTCGCTGGTCGAAGAAAACAAAGCCCTCCGGAGGGCCAGCGTTTCCATACAAGTAAAGGCCGAACAGGAAGAAGAGTTTATAAGCAATACACTGTTGAAGAGGATTCAAGTACTGAAAAAAGAGAAAGAAAAACTAACACTTCATTATGAACACGAAGAAAAATGTTTGACAAACGATTTGTCGAGTAAAGTGAACCAATTGAGAGCTGAAAAGGTTTTTTAGATATTATTTTTTTAAAAAAATTAATTGAAATCTATTTGGTAATTGTGATTTGATAATTAAAATTAATTATTTGTTTGTTTTTTGTCACCCACACCCCATCCTCGCCCCCTCCTTAAAAACTATAGGTGCAATTGGAGCGCACCCTCGAACAGGAACAGGAGGCGCTGGTCAACAAACTGATGCGAAGAATCGAAAAACTGGAGAATGAATTGCATGTGATTCCAGAGCCCCGAAACAATCAATAAAATAACTAATGTATTATTATTATATGTGGAGTTACTGTTGCAGCACAAGTAGTTTCTATCTCTCTGTCTCTCTACCTCCCTATCCTTTTCCTCGGTCTATATATCTCTCTCTACCTCTCTTTTCTCTCACACACTCACTCACTGGTACTGACAGTGGCAGACATTGGCGCTTCTATATAGTGATGGAGATTGTGAGCGATGGCACTGGCATTGACTGACTCTCTCTCTCTTTTTCTCCCTGTCCTCATATATATATCTATACTGTACACTGCGATATCACTGCGAGTTATGAGATGATTGCTGTGAAATAGGGATGTCTTTTATACACATACACACACATCATGTGTCTATTGGTGTGCTAACCATCACATATAATATGAGTACGAGATATATATATATATATACCTAAATCCCTTCAATTGTTTGTGTGAATAGCTGTTGTGCTATTGTGTTTGGACATAACATACCCATACCTCTCTCTCTTTCTATTAAATAAGCAAGTATGGCATATATTATTTGTGGCCATTAAACCAGCATCAACAACAACAACAACAAAAAATCCCTGTGCTCGGTAAGGGGTTTCTGCGCTTACCTAAGTAATCATCATCATCAGGCATACTGTTCCCAATAATAAAACTGTATTGAACATCATTTTATGGTTGTTTCTCTATCATCTCAAACACACTATTATCACTATATATATATATATATGATATGATATATACTGTATATATCATATATTATATATAATTCCACTTATAATGTATTTAACTGTTGGCTATATTTTTCCGATCGATATTTAATATAATGATTGTTATGTCTGTAATAAATTGTTTTGTGATAACTATAATAATAGACATCACATGCCTTTCATCCATTGTCTCTTCCAATGATAGCGCTGTCCATTCGCTTAGAGATAGCGGCCAACAGTCCTATGTTAGCGCTTCGTCGTCTAACAGCCACCCAATAGGCGGCGGCGGTATCGGCGGCGGTTCCGCCAACATCTATCCGCCGAGCGCTGCCCGTATGACCTCCGAGTCTGTGCCCGTGGAACAAGGTTCGTGCGTTAGCAAAACGGACTGCCATTCGGCCCATACCTATTGCGATAGCCGAACCCATCGGTGTCGATGCTCCGGCGACTATATACATGTTGTCAAATATGTGAACAATACGAGAACTAAACCTCTATCACTCGTCTGTCTTCAAGTGGCCAAACTTGATGACCGCTGCCACAGTCACGAACAGTGTGTGGTCGCCAATTCAATGTGCATATTTGCCGATCCCGTCGGTGTTGTCGGCTTTCGTAACGTTTCGTCAAACTATTGTAAATGTCGTGAAGGCTATCACGCGGAAGACAAAGAAGAAACATTTGTTACCAAAGATAACCAACGGATATCCGCCCGACGTATTTGCGGCGAATTTCTATCGATTGGCAACTCATGGATCGGCACATTTGCCATCATCTGTATTATGCTATTGATTATAATTATCGGCTGTTTTGTCGGTATTGTACGATTTCAGCGCTGGAAACAGCGACCGCTAGCTTCGACGGTAACCAGTTTGGCCGCTGACAATCGACACACACCGCATCTCATATCATCGTCGCCGCCGCCGATGGGCTCAGTCGAGGCTGAATTTCAAAACGATTTCATACAAGTCTTTCCGATGCATCACTTGGAACCGCTTCCGGACAAGAATACCTCAAACTATGAGTTTGTCATCAAATGAAATCATAATTAAAACAAACAAACAAAATGATAATTAAACCAAAAAAAAAATAAATAAATTAAATTCATTACTCGAAGTCATGAAACCATTTAAGACGAACCACTTCTTTCAAATGTCTTTCAAATTTCTAATTAATTGCTAATTAAAAGCTATTAAAAGAGCATTTAATAAAACTATTTTTGCCGAAAAATATATATATATAAATTAAGTTATACTAAATTAATAATAATAATAATAATATAAATTTTATTAAACCAAAAAAAACGAAAAGAAAAAATCCAACTATTTTTAGTGCTATTATTGTCTTTCACTTTAAAATTTTATTAAATTATTATTATTATTATTAGATATACCATACGATAACACCAACAACAATACAAAGACATTACCGCAACAAACAATTCCTTAAAGTGATTGGTCATTGATTTAATGAAATTTGTTTACAACAACCACTTATCCACTCACCCACTCACTCACTCACCCACTCAGTCAGTCAGTCAGTCAGTCTCTGAGCTTTTACTCTTGATCTCAAAGAGCTGTTGAATAACATATATATATATATATATATATTTGGGAACAATTATTGTGTGTTTGTCTGAATTGAATTGTGATTGTGATTGATCTCAATGGTATCTCATGGTATTACTATCCGAAAAAAATACAACATGTTTTTGTCTATCCATCTATCTATCTATCTCTGTGCTAAACAATGTGTTAATTATTTTCATTTGACTCTATTATCATCAATTGGATGTCCACATCATTGAATTGAAAATGAGATGTCCATACAATATATAATTTATATACAGTGTATATAATAGTCGTATATATATATATATATACAGTATATACCAGAATATTCTCTAACTGTAAAGAGTTCTGATATACTGTATATATATAAATGAAACAAAAATATCTTCAAAAGTCAGTGAAAAATTAGTTACAAATTGTTTATACAAATAATAAACTGGACATTAAATACTTGTTGTGAAAAAAACATGAGAAAAACATTAAGTAATAATAATAATAATAATAATCTATAAAAAACTATATACAGTATATTAATAATATATTGATACACAGTATAAAGTTATAAATAATAGACATTATTCACAATATATATATATTGTATTTGATTGTAAAATATATTTTTTCCGCATTTTCTTTTAACACAATTAATTGTAAATTATTTTTGTTTTGTTTTTTGTTGTTATTTAATATTATCTCTCCATTTAAAACATAATGTGATGTAAAATAATTTACAATAATGATAATAATAATACTGTAATATCCAATCCATTATATTTATATATATATATACAGTATATATGTTATAATACTGTATAAAACTCAAAGCAAAAGCTATCAACAGTTAATGAGAAAACAAAACAAAACAAAAAAATCTTAATAGATATCAGAAAAAACTTCTTCAATGTCTTAAAACAAAAAGGAAAAGCCTGTAATCGGATTCAACTACTGTTACAATACAATACAGTAATAATAATATTATTTATTTTTTAGTGATATTATTGTTTCAATCTTCAATAGTAAGTAAAAAATCAAAAGGTCACATACAATAAGACAGTATATATATATATATATATTGTATTTATATTATACATTCACACCGTTACTTAAGTCAGAAAGAAAGAAAGAGAGAGAGAGAGAGAGAGAGAGAGAGAGAGAGAGAGAGAGAGAGCACTTAGATATCAAATACAAACCTTTTTTTATAGATGCCTGTCCTCTATAATTGAACCTTCAATTTAGTATATAAATAAGTATAGTATATATATATATCGATAATATAGACCATTATTTCGAGTAACAAATTAATTAGATGTCTCATTATTATTATGCAATCCTCTTGTTTTTTTGAAACGAATTTTTGAAAAAATAGAAATATTTTTTTTTCTTTTATTTGTACCGATTTTTTTGTAGGTCTATTTACCGTAAATTTAATTCAATTTTATTTTTACTTTCTGGTTATGTATTACTTTAGTTTAGTCGACATTTTAAATGATTTTGTCATTCATTGTTTTTGGAGACTTTTATTTTCAATACTATATATACTAATACACAACTGTTTTATCGTTATTTTTCGTCTTTTTATTTTTTGGCTAATGATTACTAATACTCTATCTATTTGTTAAACTACTAATTGAATTTAAAATTCATTAATTTTTATCTAAAATTTTATTTCCTCTCTCTCTCTCTCTCTCTCTCTCTCTCTCTCTCTCTCTCTCTCTCTCTCTCTCTTTCTAATCATTAGTTTATTTAATTTAAAAAAGTCACTTTTTGTTTTGTTTCTTAAAAAAAATATTGAATACATTTAAAATATTTCTAATTAATGTGATTTAGTTGTTTTTATTTTGCTGAAAATAAATCTAACATATAATTGTATATACACACACACACACACACACACACACACACACATACAGACAAAATTAGCAAAAATACTTAAATTAAAAAATAATGTTAATGTTGTAAAAAAATCAAGAGTATATATATATAGATATATAATTTAAATCTATAATATATTATACATTTTGAATAGTTATTGTATTTTTAAATCATGCATACAGTATATGATTGTCTAACTATTATTTTTGAAACCTATTAATAGCCTAATACTGATACTGTGTGTGTGTGTGTGTGTGTGTGTGTGTGTGTGTGTGTGTGTGTGTGTGTGTGTGTGTGTGTGTGTGTGTGTATGAGTGTGTATGTGTTTTTTTATACACAACTAAAAATAAAATTAAATAAAATAAAAAATCAGATGCTAATGTAATAAAATGAAAATGTTAGTGAAATAAATAAAATTTAAATAATGAGATTTAAGTAAATTGCATGTAATATAAATACAGTATACTATATATATATTTGCGATTCATGTGATTAGATATAAATTATCTGTTTTACAGATTTTACTGTTTTTGTTTTGTTTATTTGTTTGTTTAGTTTAATACATATGATATCATCAAATTAAATGATTATTTTAATTGATTGTTTCAATTACAGGCACAACAATAATAATAATAATGATAACAAAAATACAGTATTATTTAATTCATTTGTATATTATGTTCATTTAAAAATCATTTATGAATATTTATTAAACAAAAAAACAAAAATAAATTAATTATTTGAATTAAATATTTATAACTACTATTGTAATATATTATATATTAGTAAATAAATTATATTAAAAAAAATAATCTATTTTATTTACTGCTAAATATAATATGATAAATATTAATATAAAATAGTAACAAAAATATTGTTTTTTCTTTTTTAAAAAAATATTTATCACTAATTGTTAAAGTATTTGGAAATTGTTTTAATTAGTATTTTTTGTTAATTAATGATAAAATTAATAATGAGTTAAAATTTTTCATGTAAATATTTTAAATTAACAAAATAAAGTAGAAATAATTATATTTAATTAATTAATATGACACATTAATATTTTAGCTTGTTTTTAATTTTTATTCAATGATCATGGTAATTTTTAAGTGTCCATATATTTAATATATATTATCATCCATGTATCAACATAACATACAGTAATATTAATACTATATAATATAAAGCCAATAATTAATATGCATAATTTTTGTTGTTATTTTATTATTAAAAATTCAAATATCATCCAGTACATAGTTTTTATATTGTTATTGTTATTATTATTTTTATTTTAATTGTATTGAGTTCAATAAAATTTTGATTCAACTAATTCTATATGTTATGTTATATTTCAATTTTACACAATTTTTTAATTAAAATTAATTTATGTCAACAATCTTTCATTATTATTATTATTATTATTATTATTATTATTATTATTATTATTATTATTATTATTATTATAGCAAAAATACAGTCATTAATTATACACTATATATATACAGTATTTTTATATAAATTATATAATAGTCATCTCAATTAAAATTTTTCCAGTTTATGGGTACATATGTTACAATATAATATATAATATATAATGTATATATATATATATAAATATATATAATATTTCTACTCAAAACCAACATATTTTAGCATAAATAACATTATTTTATTGTATTAAAATTAAATGCAATAATATTTATGTTGAAAATGAAAATTATTCAATAATTCAATTTTTATATACCAAAAAAAAATAAATTATAATTTAAAATAAGTTAATATAATCACAATTTTTTTTAAATACAGTATTTAAAATGTCATTGAGTTTTGAACCAATTGAAGACCAATTGGTTTAACTGTTGAATAGTAAAGTGAAAAACTTATCGACAATTGTTTTTTAATTCAACCGAAACACTGGACACTATCGATGGACACTATCGGGTTATCTATGATTAGGTCATTAAATTTAAATTGTTTTATTTTTTGTTTGTTTGTATATTTGTTTGTGTAGTTCAGTCTATAATATCACCAAACTATTTAAATGATAATATTATATATAAAAAAAATTTAATACCTGGTATATAATACAGTAGTTATTGATTGTTACTAATTGATTGAAAACAATAAATATTGCCAAACAAATAAAAAAAAATCTTTCTAATAAATATTTATAATTAAAAAAATATATACATTAAGTATATAAAGTTATATATAATTTATAAATAATTTTTACATCAATCCTACATTAATGAGAGAGAGAGAGAAAAAGTAAATTTACATAATTATTAATGCAAACATAAAAAAAAATTTCTAACTAATAAAAAATGTAATTCATTAAAAATAATTAATAACATTAACAATGTAAAGCTAATTTGATTATTTATTTTTTTAATAAAGCATATTATATTTCAAGTTTCATATTTATTTTATTATTATTATTTTTTTGGTTTATTGTTTCACAAACATTATATATATATATAGCTATTGTATCTAAATGTATAGATATTGTTTTTATCCCGGATACTATTTAGATAATGTAAATTAATGGATTTTTGTTAAAATAATAAAAAATAACCTAATTTTTATTAGCCATATGTAATAAATTCTATAATAATGG